CACACTACACAATCACTCAACAATCACACTTTACACACTAAGTGTAGGAATCTAGCCCGTGTCCTCCTCCTCAAGTGCTCGATTACAACCTCTCCCTAGGTTCGTCAATCGACGCCACTCCTATTGGATTTGACCCCGTCTCTCTCTCCTCACACTTCTCTCGGTGTACAAGTGTATTACAAGTGATTCTCACAAATAAAAGTTAAATACAATGATTTGTTCTCAATTAACAAGTGAGAACACAATGAAGCTCACACTCACTAAATCCCACACCACAACCCACAATATAATATGAGAATATAAAGCTCAATAAGTGTGTGTGATAATAGTGAATGAAACTCAATAAATATAACTCAATGAATATAGCTTAATCAATTGAAAGTGAAATAACAAGCTATATAAGAATGGGTTTAGAAAACTTCTCAATGAATAAGAAGAGCTGAGGAAATGATGATCTCAATAAGATTTGAAAGCCTCTTCTTGTTGTAGAAAAACTTCTCTTGAAAACTGATTAACGAAACCAACTCTTAAACAGCTCTTAAACGAGATTAACAACTTGTTAAATAGCAAACTTGGATTTCTTAATTAAAATAGAGGAAGAGCAGCAATGGGGTATATATAGCACCCCATTGCAACAGCTAAAAATAAGAAAAAGACCAAAAAACCATTTTGAAAAAACTAGCCGTTAGGCTCATTTGTCAATGCGTCGGTCGACCGGTACGGTCGACCGATTAGTTCAAAAACCCAGAGAGACGAAGTTTTAAAGCTGGCGGTCGACCGACGCAAATTTCGGTCGACCGAATGGAAATTTCGGTCGACCGACGGAAATTCCGGTCGACCGGAAAATACTCAAAGAAATTCTCAGAAAACAGACTACCGTCGGTCGACCGTATCGGTCGACCGAAATCTGATATGTGAAAAATGACAGGTTTTGGGTCAGTTTTGAGAATTCGTTAAAAATATCAATTCATATCCAAAAATAGTGAAACTTTGGGGAAAGTTTATAAATGATGAAATGAACATGTTTGAAAAGGAATTTTTGGAAAAACGAATTTCGTTTGTGAAAACTACCTGTTTTTGAAAAATGATTAGAAAACCTGTATTTTTATGAAAGTGAAAGTTTGATATAGGACTTGTAAATATTCATATATATATTGTGCATATATTATATGTATATAATAAAGTATGAGAGAGCTGTAAACAAGAGATAAAGATATTTTAACAACGTTTAAAGAAAAATCATCTATATGATAGAAAATGTCAAAGATCGTGTTAAGTGTATATATATTGAGCTTAGATATAATCATACTATATATGTAAGAAAACTGATCATATACCTAAGAAAACCCACGCAGATGAACTTGAATCTTTAACGCTGTGTTGAAATACCTGAAAAGAGAACATAAACACAAAACACTGGGAAGCTTATTAGAGCCAGCCTTCTTCATCTTCATAAGCTGACGATTGTTGGGAAAATATTCCTGATAAGGAGTATTCCCCAATGGCAACCCGGATACTTTCATCATTTCGTGGAGTGGAAGCCCCAACTCCCCATACTTGGTAAGAAATGTGTTAGTCTCCGGAATATAAGACTCGAACAAGGCCATAAAATGATCTACACTTACTGGGAGACCATGCATGCTGGCTCGGATTGGAGCATATAATCCCAAATTCCTTAACTCCTGATCCTAACGATTGAGTACATAGGTGGTCATTCAGTGAGTACGTAGTTGGTCATCCTAGCCCACCATTTGTCTGGAAGAGAATGAACCCATCCATAACACCTGAATTTTGGAATGGGAAGTTCTCTGCCAACCCGGGCGAGTTTATTATTTACCGTATTGGCCCTTATCATCAGTTCGTTCTGAGGCCCGCTATCTGGTCCAAATAGCCCCGGATGGAGACCACGAATATTATGCCTACCGATGGAACCAGGAGCGCTAATATCTTTACCAATGAATCCGCAATGAACGCGCTCGTGGTCTTCTGTCAGGTGCCACGTCATTTTCCTCGAAACAGCCAAATTCCTTAATTGCAGAAGGGAATACTGTCGAGGGAATGGAGGAAGGAATAGAAAAGCACCTTCGTGCTCATTCAACCAAATTTCGGGGCCACGGCAGAGATTGTCTGGATCTTCTATCGAATCTCCAAACAGATAATCAGGTTTCTTCAACGGTTCGGTAGAATCCCGGGTTGGAGTCAATGGTGAATCAGTCAGCAGAGCACGCAGAGCGCGACGGCCTCCCTCGTGAATCAACTCCGAAACATTATTATCACGATCTTCACTAAATTGGCGGGCCTCTCTAACCAGGAAGTCGCCGTTGAAAGAGGCATGAAGAACACCGCTCTGGCCTGGGTCTTCTCTATCAGAGAAGGCCACAGAGGGAAAGGGGACTGCAAAGAAAAGTTGGGAAACAGTTGTATAAAAGAGACGAAACAGAGCAAAACCCCGCTCTAAGTAACCACGGCATTATTTACTGCCGCGCGTTACCGCGGCAGGGTATGTTGCTGCGTTCAGCCGCGGCAACACGTACTGCCACGGTAACTGAACAGCGGCCTTTGATTTCGAAAAGGTACAAGTTCGACGAAAACTCGCATCTTGACTGTGGTACATGTCTTGATTGAACAAGATATGTGTTTTAAAGCATCAATCCTCTCGATGGAGGATGTCAACTCTTCCCGAATGCCTCTCAATGGAGACAAACGAGGCTGTATGCACAAAATCAACAATTTTAGATAAGGAGAAGTTGAAGAAACTTACCCCCAAAAGAAGGAACAGCAGCCTCGACCTCTTCAGGTACTGATGCCGTCGATTTGCCCTTCGAAGCACGAGTTTTCTTTGGAGACATAGTGAAATCGACCTAAAGAATCAAAAGTTAGGGTTTTTATGTTAGATCTCAAAAAAAAAGTTAAGGTAAACCCTAAATACATGAAGGGCGTGCCATTCTACCAGGAAGTGAAGAGGAACAGGTTTAAAAAGTCAGAGAACCAACAGATCAAGAGGAACAGTCGAAACCCTAGAACTCGTCCAAAAAGAAATCACAGAAATTCGAAGAAAGGGAGAAGGGGAAAGCCAGAAAAAATCCCTTTATAGGGTTTTGGGGGAAATTTCGAACTCAGAGAAGCGGGGAAAATGACCCGAGAAAGGCCCAACAACGATCTTATAACCCAACTGGCCAAGCGGTGCGCGGCCCTCGATGCTGTCGCGCTCGAGTGCGGCACTCTATGTTGTCACGCTCGAGCGCGGAAGTATTTGCCGTCGCGGCAGCTGATGTTGACGTGATCTCCACTGTTGCGCAGGAATATCAGGCATACACCATAATCCCTTGGATATCTGAACACATAAGTCTCCCAGTGTATTTGAAATATATACCCGAACACTCCGATGAGTATATGAGTATAAACTGCATCTCCTTGAACCTCCCAACGGGTATATGAGGTTAAACTATTTCCCGAACACTCCAATATAGTATATGAGTATAAACTATTTCTCAAATTCTTCGAGAGCAGTTCTAATTCGAGACTTCGACAACGGCCATGCGATAAACGCAGCACCGGAGGAATTTTAGCTATTCTACAAGCACTGAATAGGCTAAAAGATGAAGAAGTCAAGGATTGAAGCCATTCACAAACCATTCTACGCAATTTCCTCAACAAAGCAATGGAGAAATTGCAGGGAAAGCTTATCATATCCAAAGTGTCCCAGACCCCTCTCTAAAAATGATGAGTCTGAGATACTTTGGAGGGGGTATCTGTAGGCGTCAAAAAATGCTTACAGACATCCAAACACCACTCAAGACGATATAGAAGAACAATATACACGTCATCAAGCAACACTTCGCGGCGCGGCAGGACATGGTGCCGCGGCTAAGGCGCGGCAGACCAAGGTGCCGCGGCTAAGGCGCGGCAGACCAAGGTGCCGCGGCTAAGGCGCGGCAGACCAAGGTACCGCGGCTAAGGCGCGGCAGCCTATGGTGTCGCGGCTTAACCGCTGCAACCTATGGTGCCGCGGCAGTTAAAGCAGGATGCTACAGCAGTTATAATACAGTTATCTGATGATTATTTAAAGTCCACGTGGCGGCGTATCAGAAATAGAACGTGTGCTGACGTGGAAAAGCAGTTAAACCACGAAAAAGGTGGTTAAAAGTCGTGGGAGAACAGTTTGCCGCGGCAGCCTATACTGCCGCGCCAATGGCCGCGGCAGTGTAGACTGCAGCGGCCAAAGAACAGTTATCTGGTCGGTTATTTCGCCCATGTTTCAACTGTTGTGCACTCCTACCCCTATAAATACCTCCCTAGACACGAAATAAAGGAGTGAGAGCATTTTGGAGCAGAAAAGACTTGAGTCTTTGGTGATTTTGAGGAAGAAAGAAAGAACTTTCACCCTTTGACAAGCATCATTCGGTGATTCCTAGAGATCTAAGCTCAGACTTGATCTTTGGAAGAACGGACATCTTACATCGATAAGATATTCGTTTTCAAATCTTTACTTCGTTAAACGAAGGAGAGATCCCTAACACCCTCACGATCTGTGAATCGGTGGTCAACGAGCCAAAGCACTCTCGGCACAGGCAAAGTCCCACAAAGCAGGAATTGATAGACAATTTCTGCGTTATTTTCTCGAAAGTTGTATTTTTATTTATTTTCATTGTAATTTCGTGTAAACAAATCAAAGTTTAATGGAATCGACAATGGAGTCAACTTTCGCTGAAAACAGAGAGTTTTTCATTAGTTGGAGAATTCTAGCTACTTCCTATTTATCTTCTTATTTATACTTCCTAAAATAACTTTTTTTATCTAAATGAAATTACTTTTTTGGGTGTGGAACCACTATCAACTACCTTATCCCTCAAATTTAGGATGTGAGAGAGATTTTTAAGGAAACAAACTACACCAACTGCTTGGGAGCACCGAAGCTGTTGGCTTATAAAATTCAGCATCAGCAGAGGGCACCAGAAAATTCAAAATATCAACTACGTTAACAAGTGAACCACGGGTAATACCTAAAAGTTCAAATTGCACGCATCACAGAAACAAGTAACATAAATAGAATTCTAAGAGCTGGATTTTGGGAGCGAGAACCTTATCTCAAAGAAGATAAGCCTGAGCCATGATAAGAAATAATGTCATGACAAAATTGTCCAAGAAAAGTCAAGCTAGTAAGTTCATGAATGACAGGAAGACCAGGATGCCAAAAACACCATTCAAACAATCAAGCTGCAGCAATAGTGATTCGCCCCGCAACTTGGTCAAGATCACGCCGTCCTTGAGAAGTAATCTTCCTTCCTCTGAAAAGTTAACAAAGAGCAAACCTAGTTAATTATCTTAATCCACAAGTGAATCAGTAAGTCATCAGTATGCTCTTAACGAAGAAAACAACAAAAGATATAATGTTTCCAATAATTACTTTATTGCAGCACAACTCTACCAACAGTCTCATACATACATTCAACCAACATTGTAATTCAGAATGGTAATTTAACAGTGATTATAGAACTTCAATAAACTTGCAGTCTAGTGAGAGATACGCAAAGGATGAAATGGCATTGTTACAACTTACGCTGATTTACGGATTTGCAACCAAAAAAATAAGTAAAATAGTTTTCTTTCTGACCGTCAAAAGAGTTTCCTGACAGTTGGAACATGATACAAAATTTATTGGGTCACCAAGGGTCAACCAATGTTTAAAAGAAACCCGTTTTAATCCATTTCAACACCTAACGGAGCCGAAGTGTTATAAAACTTAAGACAGAAAACTCATGTTGCATTTAACATAGAAAACAACACAAAAAAAACGTGTTTTATTTGCATTACGTAAGCTTTATTTAGCACTTGTTAAATTGAGTTAAATTGATGATGAGACTTAGACGCATGGCGATATCTCCACCATTCAAATCAGTATCACGCTCACCAAAATAAGTTCTCAATTGAATCCCCAACCCCAATTTCGTTCGCATGAAAAACCCTAGCGATCCCCAACCCCGTCTCCAGTGCCACCCCCATCTCCTCCCCCTCCACCTCCTCCTCACACTCCTTGGATGAGGAAACCTCGTGATCTATTCTTTCTCTCGTGCCTTTGTGAAGATGAATTCTCTCGCCGACAATAAGGCTCTTCTCGTCTCTCCCCGTTGGCGTTTGTGAAGATGAATTCTCTCGCCGACAATAAGGCTCTTCTCGTCTCTCCCCCGTCGGGCGCCAACGACAAGGCTCCTCTCTGGTTCCTCCTCCTCTCCCACATCTCCTTTCACCAATGAGAAAATCCTAACCCCATGTCCACCTCCAACACCTCTCCTGCTTCTAAATCCCAACTCTTTTCGACGAAGATGAAGCGATATAACTCCTAAGGTCTTGTAAGTCATCCTGTCCTCCATGTTTGAAAATTTTGATAATTCTAATTATTAAAGTCATTATAAATAGTTTGTATGTATAAAATATCTAAATAATTAATAAACAAAATAATCTACGTTATCCCCCCCCCCTCAAAAAAAAAAACTTAACAGAAGGTAGTGTGTTATGTGATGCATTATTGTTATTTTCAACATTGGGGTCAACAATATCATTAGAAAATGTAATTTAAAAGTTTTATGTAAATAAGAGATCAAGGATGCTTGTACTACCATACAAAATAGACAAATCAAAATCCAGTCACAGAAGTAGGTTGTAATTGTTAACTTTGAAACATTTCAAGGCACATGCCCCCATGTGTGTTTGTAAGACACCACTGTAACACAGTGAGAACATGATTTCAAATTTATTGATTCAGTAAGCATCGACAATACCATAAAAGATTGCGGCTAAAAGTTTCATATAAATTAGAGACCAAAGATTCTTGAACCACTACTATACAAAATAGAAGAGAGATTCTCATGATGTTTGCAATCCAATAGCACTTTAATCAGACAGATTCTCTCATCGTTGAACTGCTACTGTACCAAATAGCAAGAGATCTCTAATTAGTGAAGAAAGCAACAGAAGATATAATATTTCCAATCCGATAATACTTTTTTGCCGCACAACTACCCACAATCACCAAAGAATTCATACAGTAAACTGACATTACAATTCAGAAAGACAAGATTTACTAGGAGTATGAAGCAGAGTTTATAGAACCAATATAAAACTTGCAGTTTTGAGAGAGAATTGTTCTGCGATCCGCAAAAAATAAATAAGAGTTTTCTATCCAACAGTTGAATGTTTTGAAGGGCAGCATGCCACCATGTGTTTTTAATCACAAAGTGAGATCATGATAAATTTATTGATTCACTTAGTGAACAACATCATAAAATTGTATTTTAAAATCAATAAGCTGCGTATAAATAAGACATCACGGATTATTAAACTACTAAGTCTATTGTACAAAATTGCAATATGGAAACCCAGTCATAGAAGTTGGTCGTGTTTCAAATAATTTTGAACCATTTTCAGGTCTTCTACATGGCAACTAAAAAAAGAGCCCAGTCAGAGAAGCGAATGTCCACAGTGGATATAATGCTTTAAACACTGTCAATTAGACGTTTTTCCCACCTAAGGAAGTGCCATGAGGTTTTATAGTTTAAAACTAAATTAGTACCATTAGTAGGATATATGCCAGTCACAGAAGTTTGCCAAATTTCTCTTCAACTGAAAAAAGAACAGCCTACTTAATTTCCTAAGTGCATTATACAAAGGCACTTTAACAACCTTGAATGGTGTGAAAAAAGAACAGCCTACTTAATTTCCTAAGTGCATTATACAAAGGCACTTTAACAACCTTGAATGGTGATTGCCAATCATTCCAAAGGTAATTTCCTAAGTGCATTATACAAAGGCACTTTAACAACCTTGAATGGTGATTGCCAATCATTCCAAAGGTAAAAATACACAGACTCCTTACTTGAGTCACTTAGATGTCAAGTGGGAAGGCGACATCAAATATTTGTCAATTAGATCCATATTCAAGAAGCAACAACATACCAGTACCAATAACAAAACATAAATGCATAAACTACTCACCCCCTAGTATCAACGTCAATGATATTCATCGCTTGCAATTGCTGGAGGATGTGGCGAGCTACAGCACCACTACTCTTGCAGAAATGTGGAGGACGACTTCCATTTCTCTTACGCCCACCATAGATCTTCTGGAATCCACCTACCCCAATTCCTTGCCTAAGGTAAATCTTCCTTGCCATTGAAGCTACAAAAATTAAAAAGATATCATTGCCAGGCTAAAGAAAATCGTGCAGCAGTCAATTGGAGAAAAATCTTAAACATAGTCATGCATTCTTACCGGCTCTAATGTAGTACCAATCAGGGTCATAGGGAGCAAGCTCCTTGAACCTTCCAGTCTTCACAATATCAGTCCAATGAGGAAGCTCCATCTATTTCAAGTGACATCATTTTATGAGAGAATATCAATATCTTGTAAGAGGTTAGAATTAAATAAGATAAAAATAGTATTAGTCTACATGAAACTGTCAAGAAAACTGTCTGTTCATGGCATTGATACCATTTATATTTTCGTCCTCTTTTGCAGACGCAAGTAACGAAAGAAGTTTATCTTTCTTAAACATGAATGCAAGAAGGTTTACAAATAAAATAGGAAATGCTATAGAAATTACGAAAACAAAAGAAATCAAAATCATTCCCACATGATATTTTCAAGTGCCAACATAGTTTAGGAAAGGAGTTTCGGTTAGAAAATTGCAGTTTAAACTGTTTGCAGTTACTTTGCAGCCATTAACAAATGTAATCTCTTAGGACTTGCAATTTCAAAAGTGAAGTTGGCACATACGAGAACGTTGAATTAATTGGGCTCACATTGCTCATATAGGCGCTTTCAAATCTCATGACCAGATCACCTCATCACACATACACTTTGAATGGCCTTACTCAAGCTTCAGTTTATCAAACATCTCATCTTCCTTCCTTCAACATACGCATTTTTAGCAACTGACAAGGCTACTGACCATTTTCCATCAATCATAGTAATTTAACACTATCCTTGATGCCAATGATCTGCAAAAAATTATTTTATTTTACTACTTGATTAGCCACGACCAAAAACATGTTTCCCAGGTCAATGATGTGATCATCTCATCCTACAAACATCTAGACAAACCTCCAGCAATTTTTTTTTTCCACATCAAACGACTGATTGTCCGACACTAAGCTTTTATAAGCAACTTTCTAAGTCATTTCAGATTCCAACTTCATTTCAATCAGAAAACCCACATGATTTGAAATCTTGTGACCTGATCATCACATCCCATACATATTTCAAACGACCTTACTCCAGTTTGTCTCCATCAAATCCCACTTCCTCACCCAGAACATATGCAATTATTAGCAACTGCCAAGAAACTGGTTTTTCTCATCCAGAGCTATCCGTCACTTACTCTTCCTGCTAATAATTTGAGGCAAATATATCTAGTCTTCTCACTTGATTATCCATGAACTAACCCCATTTGTCCTCCTTCAAATTTCACGACGTGAACATCTTTTCCAACAAAAATTGAAAAACCTCCTTCAAACTTTTTCCCATCAAGATGTCACTTCCTTCAAAATTGAGATTTTCATCCAAAATTAAAGGTTCCAGTGGAAATTATGAGACTTCCACCAAATCTCAAAGCATATCAAGGCTTATAGCAGTTGCAGCATTAAAAAATATTAAGTTTATATCTTTCTTCATATTTTCACCTCTTATTCTTTAAAGAATATTTTAAGCTAACAACTTAAATTAAATAGAAATGTTATGTTTACAATTTGTAGCAGCTCTACACAACAAATTTTACGATAGAGCCTTAACTGAAAATGAGAAATTTAAACCATTAATCCAAATACTTCCAGAGAAAAAAAAATCGAATCTTTCTAACTTCAATCACAGAACAACAACCGATCGAAATGGAAACCTGCAAATTTTACAAGGATCGAGAGAGGGATGAAAACCTTGCCGGATCTCTTGAGATGAGCAGAGTAGGCCGTCACGAAATCGTGAGGAGAGACGTCCTTCACCGTCTTCGCAGCTGCCTCCATGACTGCCGCTAGAAATTTCCCGAGCTAGGGTTAGGGGGTAAGGGGTTTTGGAGGCGGATAGGTAAAGAGCCATTTTTTATATGAACTAGAATTTTATTACGGGCATATGCTCGTGCTGCTATGAAAACATTTTATTTTTGCATTAACAAATATATATATCATATCATATCATATCATATCATACCTCATACCCTTTTTAAAAGCACGAGTTTAGGAAAACACGAGTTTATGAAAATATTTCCATGCTTAATATTACCCTTCACTATTTTGAATATTTTATTTAAATCTTAATCTATACTAGTTTTAATCATATCTTATCTAATTCCACGTTAACTATCTATATGTCAATAATTTTAAAAAAATTATTTTGAATATTTCACTTAAATATTAATCTATCCAAATACTAATTATATTCTATATTAACTCCATATGAACTACCTATAGTTCCACAATTTAGAAAAAAATAAGATTAAGAAATTATACGTAGATAACATATTATAATACATGAAGGATTACAAAAAACCCAAAAGTTTCAAAATTTGCATATGATAATCTTAAAAGTTTAAAATTACACAAAACACCTTGACTTTTTTTAACTTAAAGACAAACATGAAATCTAAAAGTTAAAAACTTATAATTAACACCCTCATTATTTTTAAAATTGTAGAAACAACCTCAAAATTTTAAAGGCTAAATTACATTTACATACCCTATTGTTTCGCTTTTGTAGTAATTATATACCCTAAGTTACAATACATAGCAAAAAATATCCTACGTTGGCAAAATTTTGCAAATTAGTACCTTCTGTTAACTAATCGTGAAAGTATTCTCTAGAATATTCCCACGTGCTGTACATATGACCAACTTGAATGTTTCTTACCCTCATTTATTGTATTATTTACTATATTACCTACCCCCCCCCCCCAAAAAAAAAAAATTTAAATTATTTTCATTTTCATTTTCTTCTTTTTGGCAGCCTCCAACTCTTCTCCTCTTTATATGGGTAACAATAGAAAATAAGAGTTTTCACTATGTTTTTTTTTTTTTTTTTTTTTTTTGGGGGGGGGGCGGGGGGGGGGTTAATTCTAAATGAGGGCCATTATTATCCTTTCATGTATTTTTAACCCCATTAGCTAAATTTAAATAGTTACCAATTCATGGTATTTTTTATGCTATGTTTTTTTTAACTTCGGGTATATAACTACTACAAGAGCGAAACAATAGGGTATATAAGTGTCATTTAGCCAAGTTTAAATTACAAAAAAGCATCCTAAAAATTATAAAACTCCATCAAAAGTAAAAAATTATAAAAAAATCCTAAAATTTTAAAACTTATAACCGGTACACATTAAATTTAAAAAATATCAGCAGATCATTGAAAAGTTAAAATTTTTAAAAAAGAACCCAAAAATTTAGTAATTGTAAAAATACCTTCAAAATTTCAGAGTTACAAAAAAAATTTTAACATTTAAAAACTTACCACCAATACATGAAACATGAAAATTATAGGCACTCAAATTAAAATTTAATTTTTTTATAAAATACTATCAAAGTTTAAAAATTACAAAACACACACTCAAAAGTTCAAAATCATAAAAAGGCTAAAATTTGGAAAAGAAAAAGAAAATGTTTGATATTATTACATTAAGATATAATAGGCTAGCATTAGTTGATTATAATGTATAAACATTTGTCTCTAATGTTGATAATATGTATTTATAAAGTAAAAAAATGCAAGGAGTTATGTATGGAGAAACTATCAGAAAGTTCAGAGATATCCTTTAAAAAACCAAGTTGTTTTCATTTCAAATGGAGAAGTGAAGGAAATAAATTCAAAATTTAAAAACATTCATGAATCACGTGAATTGACATTGATAAAAAGCATATCTAGCAAAAAAAGCACTGACCGAGTTCTCCTTAAAGAACATATTGAACAATTATGTCCTAATTAAAAAAGAATTCTTCACGAAAGATACAAGAAAAATTAATAAGTACTTATAAATTTTTAATTTTTATTCTAAAAATATTGAAGGAATCATAAACTTAATATAAAATTACATATAAATAATCTTGCAATAGAAACTAAAGTAAAGTCATTGATTAACTATATTGTAAGATATAATAAACTAGATGAAAAAAATCACTATAATAGACAAAAAGTACGCACATCGATCCTTTACCTAGTTTTCTACTTGTTTTGGCTAAAACATGTCCAAAATAGGCCCAATTTGTTCACACCAAACATTAGCCTCAAAATTGGTTCTTTTCCAAAGCACCCCCTTCTATGGAACAAAAGTAAGCCAGCGTATTTTTTTTATAAAAAAAAACTGATTAAGATCAATCAAGGCCCAGTTTTCATAAATTTGCCAATTTGACACTAAAGGTTAAAAACCCACAGATGCAAATAGAGCTTGAGCGCAACTCCTTACACATTGAAAATGACCTCCACAGATCATCAGAGTTGAAGACTTTTACAACCACACATCATAATGTCCAGTTGACAGATCCCATCAACACAAAAGAGAAATTAACTTGAAAAAAGATTTTGGCCACTCGACCAGAAAAATAAGCAAAGCATTCTCTCATACTCAACCGAGGGCAGATCCTAAATTAGATTGGTGCAAATGTGTTAATTAGCATTTCTCATTAACTTATAACAAATACTATATGAGACCAGTTCGAAGTTCTTATTAACCACAAGCCGATGGAAAGAAAAGTTATGGGCTTACGCTCTCAATATCGAGCCAAACTGAGATCCAAATGATTATAACACCAAAGAGCTCGTATTCTATCCTAGACTCTAATCAACTCTAGGTAACAGTAAAAAAAATGCTCTCAGCGACAGTAACCATCAGAAAAGATTTTAGTTAGTAGGGGCAATTTATTTCTGGCCCCTAACGTCAGTTGGCTCCACAGCTTCGGGTTCAACTGTTTCTGGAGTTCTCGGAGGCTCAACAACTTCGGCTTCAATTGTCTCTAGAGTTCTTGGGGGGTCAGGATGCACCTCGGCGGATGGAGCTCTCCATTTGCCCGAGTAAGCCACGCTCATCATCTCATAAATTTTGCCGCCCAACTCCCTGGCATTATCAGGCTGAATTTAGGGGAGGGGGGCGGGGGGGAGGGGCATCAGGCACACTACTGGTTACACAGAGCACAACACTAAAGGAAAAAAAGCATCTTTTTCCAATGTTTTATAGTACGCGCAAAAATGTAATAGATGGTGGGAATGAAAGTGCTACAATGGACGAATAGATGTGCACAACAAGATAATAAATGAGTGTATTTGTATTTGTACATAAGTGAGATTGTTGATAGAATAAGAGAGAATTGCTCAAGATTTTTTGACCATGTTAATTAGAGATCACGAATGCACCAACCAGGAGAAATGATAAGATTGTAAGTACTGAGAAGGAACTGGTAAGAGCAGAAGGGAACTTGGTTGGAAGGTCAAGGAGGGCAGTGATAGAGAAAGCTTTAAAAGAAACTCAAGTGGAAGAATATGATTCATTTAGCTGACCCCAATTAGGGGTGCATTCGGTCTGGATACGGCTCCGCTATGGAAGAATATGATTCATTTAGCTGACCCCAATTAGGGGTGCATTCGGTCTGGATACGGCTCGGATATGATGTCTACCATATTCATATCCGCTTATTCATATCGGATACGGATACGGATATACCTTGGTAAGGAAAATTCATATCCATATCCGCTAAAAACGGATACGGTTACGGATATACATGCGGATATATAAACGGATATGCATGCAGATACAAAACAGATATGAGAAAACTAGATAGTATATTGAGAAAAATATAGTTCATGTGATACAAAAGAGTTCGTTAATATGTTCATTATAATTGAAAAGTTAATATTAGACATCTTGATCATCAAAATTAACCACAAATCCATAATCTAAGAATCGAAACTATCGTAAGAGTATGACTAATATGTATCCGAATATCTCGGATACGGATACAGATATTTCACTATAAAACCATATCCGTAACCATATCCTATCGGTTATAGATTTGAGTAACCATATCCATATTCTAACGGATACGGTTACGGATATTTTCTCGGATACGGATACGGTTTAGCACCCCTAACCCCAATAATTTGGGACAAAGGGCTTCTTGTTGCTGCTGTTATTATTATTGTATTGAGTTGATAGAATCATGATCAATAGACAAATTGTTCCTTCGTCAACTCTCACAACCTAGAACATTGAGAAAGAAATCCAAAAATTTTGCAAGATCCTAGGGTAACCCAGGCTTGAAAGGTGGCCATCCAAGGCTTTAATAACAATGAAATATGATCTACCTCCTCCTTACAATACTCGCTAGAACAAACTGACAGATGCAAAGCAGTTCCACATACTTGGTAAACACATAAATAATAGATAAAGCAAAAATACTCACAGTGAAGCCACTGGAAATCAAAGCCGTGTCATAGAGAATATCAATAGCCTTCAAAGCCTCGAGATTGTCAGGATTCGTCCTACTTGCAACCTGCAATATAATAGAGCAATTATACAAATGCCACCAACCACTATCATCATTCTGAATCCAGAAACAAAGACTCATTAGCTGCAAGAGGGCCTACAACTACTTAATATGCAACTGGAAACATGTTCCCTGTTACACTCTTAAGAGTTGCTTGCTAGGTATGTAAACTTGATAAAAACCAAACATCCGAGAAAAGCATGCTGTTAGAGGCCATCCACATATTGTATTTCAATATGTTGATCAAATAATAAAATCTTACATTTAATTCTTTAATGATTGGATGCTCTGGATTAATTTCGAATACTCTCCTTCCCTTCATGAACTCCAAGCTAGATGGTTCCCCATGTGTTTGGGCCTTCATCAACCTGCAGAAGATCAAAGTAACAGCATACATAGACCATAAGTTCATAGACCATGATATGCATTAAGAGTAGGCTAACGACAAGAAATATCACCTCTCCATGTTGGCTGACCATCCAAACTTCCCAGAGACGAGGACACATGGTGAAGTACTAAGACGGTTGGAAATTTGAACGCTAGCAACCTTATCACCTAGTCTGTTCTTTATCCAGTCAATTGTCTGACCAAATTCTTGCTTAATCTCTTTCTCCTTCTCCTCATTCTTATCACCTGCAAAATAAAACATTGACAGGTTTGTTACATTTACTATTCAGTCACACTGTCATCCTACAATACATGCTGCAATTGTAGAGGGTGGTTTTTATCTCATATGATATAACTAGTTTAGTTATTCCCACTAACAAAAACATTTATTATATACAATGAAATTGGACGATCTAATTTGTTCAAATTGGTTTGCACATCTTAAAAGATTTGTCAATGAAGGGACCACGTATCTTGGGCATCACTCATGAATCAAAATGATTGGAAATTTTAATGATTTTCTGATGATATAAATGAATATTTCTGTTGAAAAACATATAAACTTAACAAAATAATCAATGTTTTTGAGGACTTTTAAGCCCAGTTTGTTTCTTAAGTCTATAGTTTGATTGTTAAATAACAGTTAAATTCTGTCTCTGATTAGTTACAAGTTAGAATCCACTATGCTTAACTTTTTGCTTGTAGACCAGTAAAGAAATATAGATCAAAATGAATAGAATGGCTTTTCAAACTGACAATAAAATATGCGTTTGCAGGTGTCGTACCTCCTGTTACGCATTTCTCCATGTGTGGGCATATGTGGGTGCATGGGGTGTTGGGGGATAATGGATATGATTCAACATCTCGTCTATACCATTATATTAAGAACTTAGTGACAGTAGAAACTAGAAAAAGTTTGAAGCGCATCCTTCATCACATTAAATACTTGAGGGCAATTTGATTATTTCACACAAAATTTTTTCCCCTCTTTCTTTATTTTTAATACATTCAAAAGCATATCATATAGCATACTAATTAAATATGTATTACACTGTATATTACAAAAAAATATAAATAAGAAATGATAAAGTTCTTGTGCATGCAAGTAAATACATTAAAAACAACATTAGAATTTAATAATATTCCAATATGTGTCATAATCAATTTCAAATAAGCTAAGATAAAATATCACATATTAAACAAAAAAATATCATATAAAAATATTAGAAACATCTATAATACTTCAAACGATTCTTTCAAATCATACTTATGAACCAAATATGTGCTAAAGCCATGTCCCGAGTCCAATGAATTGCATAAAATTGAGGTCAAGTGTAGAATATGCATTCAAGAAGTGCATCACGAATTTTGAACTAAAACATGTGTTATATAATTGAGTAAACGTTTGAATAAAAGTATGTCCCCATCTAAGAAGTGTCCAAGGAGTCCCGGACACAGACATGGATATGGGAGCCTAGATGAAGTGTCCGGGTAACCTAGTATTGAAATGACCAAATTGTCCTTATGTCTTCAGTGAGACGGAGGACAATATTCCTATGTCCAACTTTTCTACCTTCACTAAGTTTTTAATATAGTAGTATAGATATGCCTAAATCCAATATTCAAATTAAAAGGTTATTATCAAGGCAAAAGAAACAACTTTGTCAGATTCATAAATCAAAGAAATACCCCAAGAAGGCCCTTTGCACAACAAAATGGGAGCACCAAAAATGTGTCATGGATGAAAATATCACAAGGAACTAACCTAAATCCAAATCTTCCTTGCTGATATCTGCAAATTTCTTTTCCTTGTAGGACTCCAGACTATTGATAGCAACCTCATCCATGGGATCAACCAAAAACAGCACCTGAAGTAATAAATAGCCAAAGTTAAATCAAAGTCATATACAGAACAGTCGAGAATAAATCAGCTCCATCTGAGAGACATACCTCATAATCCTTCTGAACAAGCCTCTCGAGGAAAGGTGTATTTTTCGCACTCGTGATGCTGTCTGCTGCAATGTAGTAAATAGCCTTCTGGTCTGGCTTCATGCTTTCCACATATTCGTCTAAGCCAATAAATTCATTCTCACTGTGAGAAGAGAAAAAGCGAAGCAATGGTGCAAGGCGTTTGTGGTTTGACTTATCTTCAATGCAGCCTAATTTTAAGAATTTCCCAAAGTTCTCCCAGAATCTATCATAATCCTGAAATGAAGAGAACAAAATTAATTAAGAAAAACATTGGAAGAGCTCTTCTAAACTAATATTATGGTTAACAAGCACAACTTCTGCTACCCTAAGAGGCAAACAGTTTCTTTACAATCACTTCACATAGCAGGTTATGAGGTTAGCTGCAACTCACATCTCTGTTCTCGCTGAGAGAGATGCCCAATATCATATCAAACGCCTTGCGAACTAATCGTTTTCTCATAATGCGTACCTGCAAAAGAATACAAAATGACAAATAATAAAAAATTAGTGTATCGAAAGAGAGAAACCAAAAGGAAAGTACCAATTTATAAAGAAAGATTTAGAAGCAAGGGGAAAACAATCTCCACGAAACAAATGTACTTACAATACGACTTTCTTGAAGAATCTCTCGTGAAACATTCAGAGGAAGGTCATTTGAATCCACAACTCCTTTCACAAAGCTCAGATATCTCGGGAACTATTTAAACAAATTATATCCGAACTTTTAGCGAGATATTTAAAGGTGATACCTGACAGAAAGGACAAGCAATCTACTAATGAAAATCACTCTTACCAATTCCCCGTCAAAGTCATCAGATATGAACACACGCTTGACATATAGCCTTATGTTCTTTGTTTTTTCTTTGATTAAATCATCCTTCCTAGTCGCAGGAACAAACAGGACAGATCTGAATTCAACCTCCCCCTGTAACACAGGTTATTTCAAAGAGTCAAGATAGACTTGAATAATTTGTGATGCCACATCACTGGAAGGCATAGTTGGCTAACAAAATCAAAATAAGCAACAAATAAAATGTGTATTCTAAAGCCCCCTTTAAGCTATAATTTATGCGGTGGAAATTCAGTCTTAAAATATATGACACTTTTTGGTTTGAACAAGTCCATAATCAATTCACGTAAGTTCTACAGTATGAACTATTTTTAAGTTAGTGAAACTCTTTTCTTTTCTGATGCATGTAAACCTTAGATATATTTGTGCCCCCTTCATAATTTATTCAGATAATTGTTTTGTGGAATTTTACATGAATAGGCAAAAATGAAATGTGCAAAGGGATTCTTTAACGGCATATTAGGATTTATTTAGAGCTTTAAAAGCCTGCTTTTCTAGAGAATGATCCTCAGTGAACTTCATCGTCCTTTCTTACCTACTATCCGCTTCAGCTAATAAAATGATAAAACTGTGATACTTTTACATTAGCACGGACTAGAACAGATGATAACACTTGAAGACTACACACAAATTTATACAAGTGACTCATATTAGAATACAAGTTTCACTTCCATTATTTGATATATTGCAACCTCAAACCTTTTTCTCTACTTTAGAAATCCCAAACAAAAGAGAAAAGATGGAAGTGGTACCTCAGTAGTGAAATGTGAAGATGCCAAAGGATCCAAGTATTCATTAAAAGTCTTCCTATAGAAGTCATTGTATTCCGCTGTGGTGACATCTTTAGGATTGCGAAGCTGTAATAATCACACATGATATAAAAGATTAACAAAAAAAGATAACCACCAATTTGAACAATTTATAACATGAACAGAATAAAGGGATAGTACTCACCCAAATAGGTTGTGTCTCATTAGCTAGGTCCCATTCCCAATATTTCTCAATTACTTTTTTAGTCTTCTTCTTTTTCTGAATAACAAATTGAACATTTATACAAACAAGAATTAATATAATTGGAACTTCTCAAATCACAAGTGGCTAGTTAAAATAATCGAGGAAATGAAAGTAGAAATATATGGAACACCCATCACAATACCTCAACACTGGTGTCTTCTCCCCCCTCATTTTGTGATGAATCACTTTTTGATGAATCATCATCAACCTCAACCTAATCAGCAACATCAACCCATTCATGAAAGTCTATACATGGTCCTTGATTGAAGAAATACGACCTTCAAAATATCCACAAAAAGCATCCATTGTAGCTTAAAGATTGCAAATGTTACCTCTTTGGTAAATCCCTTCTCTTTCCATGTATAAATAGGAAATGACACAAACTGTGAGTAATTTTTCACAAGATTTTCAATCTTCTCAGGGTTAGCAAAACCCTTGTCGTCACGCTGTGAGCACAAAGGAAGATAGAACAACTGACATTTAGAATACATAAACTCAAAAGAGATTTGGGTCAAAATATCACTCAAACCTTTAGGTACAATGTAAGACGAGTTCCTCTCGGAAGTAGCTTTTCAGGATCAGTTTCCTCACGTACAGTGTAGGAGTTGGCATTTGCTTCAGCCTCCCACACAAATTGTTTATCTGATTTTGGGCTCTTTGTTGAAACAATAACCTATATATACACATAACAAACATACAGTTCAAAACAAATCTGATGCTACGCAAAGAATGTGGATTCATAAGGTTCAACTAGGAAAGCATATTATATCTTGATTCTAATTATTTAATTTCGATGGATGAGGAAAGTAGGGTTAGAAATAGACCTTATCAGATACAAGGAATGCTGAATAGAACCCAACACCAAATTGCCCAATTAAATTGCTGTCTCCACCAGCTTCCTGGTTCTCCTGTTTGTGGGAAACAAAATATCAGAGAGAACAGGAAGTAATCAAACACATTTATTATTTCTTAAGAAATACAGTTTTCAAACATATCCCCTATTAAATAATACAATGAAGAATTGCACCTTTACAGCCTTTAAGAACTTCGCAGTTCCACTCTCTGCAATGGTCCCAAGGCAATTGACCAGCTCTTCTCTGGTCATACCAATCCCCGTATCTCTGACGAGAAAAAGCAGGAAAAACCCATCAGATACAATTAATTCGTACTGGATTGTATAAATGTGCCATGCAAATGGGAAGAAACGTGCAGCTTATAGCACACTTACGTAATTGTAATTATCCCATTATCCTTGTCAGTCTGGATACGAATGTCAAGATCAGCAGCATCCTTCAAAAGTTCAGGCTGAGTAACACCCAAAAACCGAAGTTTGTCGAGCGCATCACTAGCGTTGCTGAAAATATAACAATACATAAGCAAAAATAAGCCAGCTCCTACACTTATATCAAAAAACCATTATTCTTTGAAACTAACTGGACTTGGCTAATGCATATAACTGAGAACTTAGCGATGTAATGGCCAAAATCACACTTTGATTTTTACTCCCACTGGCCCATTGCAGGATCGTTAAAAGGAACAAAATAAAGTGCAAAGCTTGAATATTACACACCTAACCAATTCACGAAGAAACACTTCCTTGTTGCTATATAAGCTGTGGACGATGAGGTCCATCAAACGACTAACCTGCCAAATTAAAAACATAAGATTTTTAAAAATTACCCTAAAAACGCAAAAAAAAAAAAGTTACTTCTTAATTTTTACCTCAGCTTGGTACTCGAATTTCTCAACCGGGGGATCCGATGAACCGACGGCCGCAGCAGTCGAATCAAATCGGTTGCTGATTAAAAGACTGCTTCTGATCTTCGGATTTGCTGCACGGTTACTATTGGGTGCAGTCAATAGAGAGAACCATCGTGCAGAAAACCTGGGGCCTTGGGCCGATTCAGTCCCATTAATCTGCATAATCAATCAAAAAAGATATGAACTAAACAAGTCGATCAAATCCAACTCAACAAACAGGAGGGGGCAAAAAAAAGAAGGATCTTTTAAGGTTTTGGTACCGAGCGAGAATCGGGGATTTGAGACGACGACGTGGAGATCGAAGGAGCGAAGCATCTCGTGGATCGAGCAACGGAGGAGATGGATCGCCTTGAGGCTCCGATCATTTTCGTAATCTCTTTGGTCTTTACTTTGGCTTTGTTCCGATTTCTGAGATTTTGGCGGAGGAAAGCGTGAGGCTGTCGAACTCCGCGACTAGGGTTTTAGGAGATCGCGAGGGATTGGGTAGGGTTTTAGGATTGTTGCACAAGAGAATCCTGGAAGCTTCTGGAGATTGAGAATGCCGTTGGGTTTAGATGGCTTGGCCCAATTGACGAGCCTGCTAGCAGCGTCGGCCCAATTTCCAGGGACCCTTCCTTAAAAAATTGGTCCAAAATGTATTTGCAACTATTCGCGAACTTTTAACTATCGAAGCATCGTGATTGAGCGTGAGAGCGGGCACGAACCCTCTGCGACGCGGATTGTGCTGATTGATTGAGCCGTCGAATTTCGATGTCTCGATTCGATTTCGGAATATACGTTTAGTTTGATTCCATAACTGGATTTTAGTCAAAAATAATTTATTTTCTTTGCTCATTGTTTTACTTAGTTGAGTTTCTCAAACATTTGTTCTAAGTCTAAATACCAGAACCATGAAAATAAAATTGTGAGGTTCACTATGGGTGTGTTCGGTTGGGTAAAGTTGAAGCGACAAATGTTTTTACAACATCATGTTATACCAAAATATGGGTTGGAACACTCTTGAAATTGAGGGTTGTTCCAACACCCCTATTTTGGGCTTGGTTTGTTGTCACAACAATATCTTATCAAACAAGACTTTTGAATTTTTAGTGTAGTTGGAGCAACATAGGATTCCAATTACAGTTGTAATAATGATAATATGCCTTTAAACATCCAATATAAATTATGTAATATTCTTGTAATATTAATGGATTTAATTATTGCACATATAATTTGGGTATTATTTTTATAATTGTTATATATTCTTAGAAATTGTTTTGTTAGATCATGCATTGTGATGTGTCACTTTCTTTGAGATGTAATCTAACTTAGGGATTTATTAAACTTGTGTTTAACATATAACTAGTAAGGAATAACTTTGTTATAACAGGTCATTATGCATGACACCGACATGTGAGATATGGTGATGGGGTCTCAACCGCCGGGAATGGGGATTCCCCATGTGTATGTCATAAGCGCACATTGTGATGTGTGTAGCACTAGATCGTGTTTGAATTCTCTAGGACGAATCACCTAAGAGATAGGGAATTCAAACTGTTACATGATCACTTTGACTTGTTAATATTGTCATTTCCGATTTGATAATTTAGTATGCTTTGATGTGATGGTTAAGTTTGTTTAGCAAACGCTACACAACCTGAAATGTTGGGTTGCTAAAATTTATTTAGAAAAATGATGGATATCTAGATTGGATGTAGTATGCTCATTATAATGAGTTAATTTATTATGCATTCCCATGTGCCGACATGAATATTTTTCAAAATTTATTTTCTTATAAAAAATAAAATATTTTAATGTTTCAAAATACTTTTTATTTATGCTTACGAAAATTACAATTTAGGCATGAACAAATAGGTGAATTGTTATGTTCAATAAAGTTGCCTAAAATAAATGATACTGGAGGGGACTGAATGTAAGATATTACTTATAAATAATTAATCCCATATTATGGAAGAGATTCTATGAACAGTTGATTGGATAGAGATTTGATTATTAAATTAAAATTATTAATTTGATTGATAATTGGTTCTCGATAAGGGACCTAATTGGTCTCACTAATATTATTAGAAGAGGTACACATGCAACACAATTCTATTTATATCCTTAATTATTATGGAAAGAGTATTCTATCTTTAATTGTTATGAAAAGGATATTCTATCTTTAATTGTTATGGAAAATATTTTTGAACAATTAAGAATTGTCTAAAATTAAAATCTATAAGGCAAGTATAATCCTATAAATAGGGTTCACATGTAGCCTTCTAAGAAAAGGAAAATAAGGGGATGTTTGTTTCACCAAGGACTAGGAATAGGATTAGGAATCCTATTTAATTTATGGATTCCAACCTAATCCATAAAAATTTTATGGACAAGTTTGAGTTTTATGGAATCCCACTTTTTTTTTTGGTTTTTAATGTTTGTTTCACCCAAAGGATTAGTAATCCCACTTTTATAGAATTGGTCCAATTCCTAATACCATGTTTGGTTCAAGAAGAATATTTTTCTTGGGATCGTTACTGTAGCAACGGCCATCTCAATTTTCATTTAAAAAATACTGTAGCAACGGATTTAAGCCCCCAAAATCATATTTCCAGCAGCAAACAATGTAGCAACATTTACATATCACTGTAGCAACGGATTTAAGCCCCCAAAATCAGATTTTCAAGCATCAAATACTGTAGCAACGGCTATTTCTTGGGCAAATCACTGTAGCAACGGCTATTTCAGGGGCATGGTGGCTATAAATTCACATTGAGGCCTCACAAATAATCCCATCATTCTCATTTTTCAACAATAATAAAATTCCCAAGCTCTTCAATTTGCTGCCCTGACATCAAGGATAATATCAAAAGAGTGCTGGCAGAATTATGAAGTTTATTGCGACTGCAATCTCCGAACACCGATGAAAGTGTGCAAGAATGGAAAAAATAAGGGTAGGTGTTATTGGGGGTGTGCAAAATTCCCAAATAAAGAATGCAATTTTTTCGAATGGGCTGAAGAAAGAGGAGAGTCATCAAGCACCCAAGGAAGCCAATATGTCAAAGAAAATAGGTACGGAGATAAATATATCTTGCAATCAAAGAAGCTGAAGAAAGAATTAAGACTTGTCGAAAATCAACTACTAGCTTGGAAAATTTCTGCAATTTTCTTAGCAATTTTTGTGTTATTTTAATTATTACAAACTTCATGTCATGTACTTGTAATTGCAAAAACTATTGAGGATGTAATGAAAACTATTGTTTGAATTGGGTACAAACTCTAATTGATATTGTATGGCTCAGTAATAGATCAACTTGTCATCATTGATTGCCCCACCTATAACTTACATGTTTATTACAGATTGCATTATAAGGATGAATTGCCTCGCCTAGACATTGTCAATTCAATGTAGGCTGCAATGTCATCCCCTTTTGCCTCATCTGGATATAATAAACAATGTAAGTTACATCATCATTGCCATATATCAAGTGCAAGGAGCTGCACAAGCTCAAAACTAAACAGCAAGTAACCCACATGCTCGGAAAAACAAAACAGCAGCATGGTGAGAATGTATGATGGGGGAAAAACAAGCGACAAACCCCAGCTCCTGCAAGCACAAACCCAGCAACAAAACAACAACAAACCCAGCAGCAGCAGGAGCTGCCAAACTGAGGAAAAACAGGCACAAACCCCAGCTAGCAAGGAGCTACACAAGCTCAGAATAAAACAGCAACAACCCCATTAGCAAGGAGCTACACAAGCTCAAAAACAAAACAGCAGCACAAACTCAGCAACAAAACAGCAACAAACCCAGCAGCAGCAGGAGCTGCAAAACTGAGGAAAAACAGCCACAAACCCAAGCATGCAAGGAGCTACACAAGCTCAGAACGAAACAGCAACAAATCCCAGCTGCAAGGAGCTACACAAGCTCCAAAAACAAAACAACAACAACCCCAGTAGCAGCAGGAGTAAACAAGCAACAAACCCCAGCAGACAGGGGGCAAACAAGCAACAAACCCCAGCTCCTGCTGCAGACGGGGTCAACAAGCACAAACCCTTCAACAAAACAGCAACAAACCCTTAGCTTCAGAACAAGCACAAACCCTTCAACAAAACAGCAACAAACCCTTAGCTTCAGCAGCAGGAGCTGCAAAACTGGAGAAAAACAGGCACAAACCCCATTAGCAAGGAGCTACACAAGCTCAAAAACAAAACAGCAACAACCCCATTAGCAAGGAGCTACACAAGCTCTAAACAAAAACAGCAGCAAACCCATCAGACAGGGGGTAAATAAGCAACAAACCCCAGCAAGCCCTAGCACAAACCCAGCAACAAAACAGCAACAAACCCAGCAGCAGCAGGAGCTGCAAAACTGAGGAAAAACAGGCACAAACCCCAGCTAGCAAGGAGCTACACAAGCTCAAAAACAAAACAGCAACAACCCCATTAGCAAGGAGCTACACAATCTCTAAACAAAACAGCAGCAAACCCATCAGACAGAGGGTAAACAAGCAACAAACCCCAGCTAATGCTAGCACAAACCCAGCAACAAAACAGCAACAAACCCAGCAGCAGCTTGAGCTGCAAAACTGGGGAAAAACAGGCACAAACCCCAGCTAGCAAGGAGCTACACAAGCTCCAAAAAAGCAGCAACTAACCCAGCTAGCAAGGAGGTACACAAGCTCCAAAAAACAGCCACAAATCCAAACTCAAGGAACCACACAAACCCAAGAACAAAACAGTAACAAACCTGATGGCAAAAAAACCCAAAGCCAAATAGCTAATAAAGCAAAGGAGCAACATTAAGAGCTCATTGGTCATGCCTATCCATACTTACCTGCATCAAAAGTTAAAATTGTTCTTCATCTACGTTATCCATCTAAATCCATTGTAAAATTAGCATATATTTACAACTTAACATTAATATTGTTTGAAAACTAAAGATAAATAAATAACTAATAAAAATATTAAAATCATAAAACCATATATCTACATATCCACAAATATATATAAAGTAGTGAAACTTTCATTTCATATTTTGCACCCTAAGCATGCACGCTGATCAAACAAATGTAATTAAGTTTTTCATTCCATGGTTTAGTCATTTGAAACCCTTGTTTCAATAATTAAACATATACCAAATTCAATAATTCCACTACCAATGTTACTTTAATCAGAGCAAGCACAATTAAATAATCAAATTAAAAGGGTTAAATTGATTTATACCTACAGATGCCAAGCTGTTGCGAAGGAAAAAATTCAAAAATTGATGTCGTTACCAACAAACCCCACCAACAAAGATCAAAATCGAAGAACAGCGGACAGCGGGAGAAGCCGAGCCCAAAATCTAGGGCAAATCCACAAACCGAAGAACCCAACAACAATATCAAAAGATCAGCGGGAGAAGAACAGCCAGCAAGCCCAGAAATTGATGTCGTTACCAACAAACCCAACCAACCAAAAACAATATCGAAGAATAGCGGATCACGGGAGAAGCCGAGCCCAAAATCTAGGGCAAATCCACAAACTGA